CTCCTCCCCACTCTATTTTTTAAATTCCTTTAGTGTTTTGCTTGAGGTCTATAGGGTGTGGCTGAAAAAAATTTAAACTGGAGGCATGGAAGCTTCTTGCTCAATTCATCAGGTGACTTAATATCACCAGTTATTATGATAATAGTTTTCCTTTACATGTGTAAATGAAGCTCTTCTTGAAGGCAGCAATTTTTAACCTGAAGTCCAAGGTCTGGGGCTAGGACCGTGAAGCCTCTGCCGTGATATATTACACTTTGTGCACACCAGCATATTCTGCCAGAGGAAGAAGTCAAAATTCGCATCAAATTTTCATGACCGCCTCACTTGCAGCCTCCAAGTCTCCACCAGCTTCTTTTCAGACCTTCTCCCTACCACAGGGCCTTTGCATCTCCCTATCTGGAATACTGTCTTCCCTGAAATCTTGTTGATGACTCAAACTTGATTTTGTAAAGCAATTATCCTTCCATTAAAAAATAAATTAATTAATGAACAAAACAAAACTTGAGCCCTAACTCGGGCATCTTGTATTCAGTCCTGTCTCCTGTACTTCCTCGACTAATTCAGGTTCTGGCTATCTCACGCATGGCCACTGGGCAGCTGCATTTTTGTTGTGCTCAGCAGCAGAGTCGTGTCCAACTCTTTGCGACCCCATGGACTGCCGCTCACCAGGCTCCTCTGTCCTCCACTAACTCCCAAAGTTTGCTCAAATTCATGTCCATTGAGTCAGTGATGCCATTTAACCATCTCATCTTCTACTGCCCCCTTCTCCTTTTGCCTTTAATCTTTCCCAGCGTCAGGATCTTTTCCAGTGAGTCGGCTCTTTGTATCAGGTGCCCAACGAACTGGGGTTTCAGCTCCAGCATCAATCTTTCCAATGAATATTTAGAGTTGATTTCCTTCAGGATTGACTGGTCTGATCTCCTTGCAGTCCAAGGGACTCTCAAGAGTCTTCTCCAGCACCATAGGTCAGAAGCATCAATTCTTCGGTGCTCAGTCTTCTTTATGGCCCAGCTCTCACATCTGCACATGACTACTGGAAAAGCCATAGCTTTGACTAGGTGGACCTTTGTTGGCAAAATGACGTCTCTGCTTTTTAATAGACTACCTAGGTTTTTCATAGCTTTCTTTCCAAGGAGCGCTAGATACCTCTTTATTAGCATTTATCACGGCTACAACTTGGCTTATTTGTGAGTTTATTTGACCAAGATCTGTCTCCTCTAAAGGTGCCGCCTGAGTGTTCCCAGTGCCTGGTATAATGCCAGGCGCCTAGCAGGGGCCCCATACTGCAGCCCTCAGGCATCCTCCTGTATCAGAACCATGGCTCAGCCTGACCCCCATTCTGAAGACGAAGGTTTGAAATATACCACCTGGATGCATTTATCATGCACCCAAACCCATGCGGCCCACACACGTTACCACCCTATTTTCCGGGGAAGACCGTTCGATCATTTAGATGATACTGCATAACACGGATGGACCCTAGAGTGTGTCATACTGAGTGAAGTAAGTCAGACAGAGAAGAAGCATCGGATGGAATCCTTTACATATGGAATCGAAAAAGAAATGATACAAATGGATTTATTTACAAAACAGAAAGAGACTCACAGACTTAGACGACGAATTTACGATTGCCGGGGGGGAAGGGAAATTGAGGGACTTTGGTAAGGTCATGTACACACCGCTGTATTTAAAATGGATAACCAGCAAGGACCTATTGTATAGCGCATGGCCTCTTCTCAGTGTTACGTGGCAGCCTGGATGGGAGGGGAGTTTGGTGGAGAATAAACACATGCGTGTGTATGACCGAGCCCCTTTACTGTTCATCTTAAACTATCACAGAGTTGTTAATTGGCTAAACTCCAATACAAAATAAAAAGTTTTAAGTTTGGAGAAAAAAAAAAGATGATACTGCATAAATGTTAAGAGTGTCCTCTAGAATCAGACTGCCTGGATTTGACTCCTGGCCCTATTTGCCAGCTATGTGGCCCCGGTTAAGTTGATTCAGCTCCCTCTGGGCCTCACTTACCCATCTGTAAAATGGGGATAATAATATATACATTATACATCCATCACAAGGCTGAAGGCCATCAAGTACGCATACTGTGAACTCAAGTGAGCTACTCTTTCCACATACCAGGTTTTGTGCTAAGCTCTTACTGACTTTTACTCTGAGTCCCTAGAGATTATCAGCCCAAGTTCAGGTGCATGCATCTTTTTTCATGTCTCAGAAAGCTCAGATTGGAGATTAGAGGCACAATGCCTGAACACAGTGCAAGAATCTCTCTTCACCAATATATCTCCAACTGACTGAATTCCGTTTTTCAAAAAGCAGCAATTATTTGCAAAGGATGGATGGCAGGAAATGAATGAAGGAATAGGTACAGTCTCAAGACTCAGTGACAGCTTGGCCATCCTGGGGGCTGAGCAGGTTGGGGGATGAATCTATTGGCTTCCACGTCAGATGCTCAGAGGGTCATGAGATGTGCCTTTGGTCCTGATGTCAGCTAAGAGTGGATCTGTGGCAGGATTTGTCTGTCAAGCACATTTGCTGAAACATCTTGGCTTCATTACATTTATGAGTTTTAAAAGCATGTAAAATATTTTATATGGTCCTTGCAAAAGGGGAGCAACATAAATAACCAGCGGGGAAAGGATGACTTTGGAGAGATGGGGTCTCCAACGGCAGCTCTGCGGACATCCCGAGAGTGCAGAATATTCTGTTTTTTCTCCTTCCTGCCCTGTGCCTAGGAGCCTGGCCTTCAGGGCCTGCAGTCCCTGTGACATCTGGGCTTTTGTGGGTTTCAGCCCATAGGAAGCAGGTGCTGGAGTTGGGCAGTCAGGAGAGTGCGGCTGGGGTGCTGACCCCTTGGCCGGCCACTCCTGAAGGCACAGCTCCTGGGGGGCGGCCCTTTCCCACAGCTCTGGCCAGGTCCTGCTAACTGCTCCCTCCTGTTGCCTTTTCCAGCCTGGAGGAGGCAAGGGCCCCCTGCTGTTAGTAGCCCCAGGGTGATTCCCCTCCCCCTACAGGCTTCTCTGTACCTGCCTGCACCTTTGTAAACACCTACTTCATGAAACTCTCCTCGGTGACCCTGCTGGAGTGAGCTTTCTGATTATTTTTTTAATATTTATTTAATTTATTTATTTGGCTGCTCCGGGTCTTAGTTGCGGCGCATAGGACCTGTGATCCCCATCGTGGCCGGCAGGATCTTTAGTTGTAGCATGCAAACTCTTCGCTGCTGCAGGTGGGATATAGTTCCTTGCCCAGGGATAAAACCCGGGTCCCCTGCATTGGGAGCGAGGAGATTTGGCCCCTGGACCACCAGGGGAGTTCCAAGCCTTCTAATTTTTGCTGGGACCCTAAAATGGACGGACATTAATATTGGATTAAGGTTAGAAATCAAACTCAGAGGAGCTTGAAGTTTCATGTTGTGGTCCCAATGAGAAGAAAATCCGTCCTGTAGAGGGAGGTCAAGCTCAGGACTGTAGCCCGAACCCCCAAATATCTGATATCTTTCAGGTGCCTTTTAAATGGCAACCCACTCCAGTATTCTTGCCTAGAGAATTCCATGCACAGAGGAGCCTGGTGGGCTGCTGTCCATGGGGTCGCACAGAGTCAGACACGACTGAAGCGACTTGGCATGCACTCATGCATTGGAGGAGAAAATGGCAACCCACTCCAGTGTTCTTGCCTGGAGAATCCCAGGGACAGAGGGGCCTGGTGAGCAGCCGTCTATGGGGTTGCACAGAGTCGGACACGACTGAAGCGACTTAGCAGCAGCAGCAGGTGCCTTTTACCTACTAGAGGTGCAAGCTATGCATGATCTCAACTGCCCAGAAAACATCCATGTTAACAGAGAAGACAGACAATTCAATAAAAAGATCTTAGTACAGGAGGAACATGGCTTAGTGTGGTCCTAGTACTGGCATTAGAGTTTGCTAGGGCCGCTGTCACCAGCTGAGTGGCTTACACAGCAGAAAAGTATCAAATCACAGATACGGGGGCTGGAAGTTCAAGATCAAGGTGCCGGCAGGGTTGGTTCTCCCGAGAGCTGAGAGGGAAGGTCTGTCCTGACATCTCTCCTTGGCTTGTAGAGGTGGGCCTTCACAGCGTATTCCCTCATCATTTCTGTCTCAGCGTCTACATTTCCCAGAAAAGCTGTCAGCCATCCTGGATCAGGGCCACTCGGATGCCCTCATTTTGACTGATTACCTCTCTAAAGACCCCGTGTCTACACAGGGCCACATTCTGGGGTCCTGGGAAGGAGGCTGGCAATGGATGCTTTTTGAGGAGACACAGCTCTACCCGTCACCAAGTCCAACACTGGCAAGTTCAAATCCTGTCTGGGTCACCTGGAACAAGTTATTTAAACTATTAGATAGCTGAAATAACTATTTCCATCTCATCAGCTAAAAAATGGGGATAATGTTGCAATCACTTTGCAGGATGCCCACTAGCATGTTATGAAATAGAGTGGGAGAATGCTCCAAGAGGGCCTGGTACATGAGCAACGTCTTTTATTGTTGGTGTCCAGTCGCTCAGTCGTGTCCGACTCTTTGCAACCCCATGGACTGCAGCACACCAGGCTTTCCAGGCCTTCACTATCTCCTGCAGTCTGCCCAAATGCATGTCCATTGAGTCGGTGATGCCATCGAACCATCTCATCCTCTGTTGCCCTCTTCTCCTTTTGCTTTCAGTCTTTCCCAGCCCAGTCTTGAGCAAACTTCGGGAGGCAGTGGGGACAGGGCAGCTTGGCCCGCCGCAATCCATGGGGTCGCAAAGAGCTGGACACGACTGAGTGACTGAACAACATCCAGGGGTTAGGACTCTGCACTCGCGTTGCAGGGGACCCGGGTTCGATCCCTAATCAGGGAACTAGGATCCTACAAGCTGGACGATGCAGCCAAAACAAAACTGAATCACGTGATGTGATATCACTTACATGTGGAATCTAAAAGAAATGGTACAAACGAACTTATTTACAAGACAGAAATAGAGTCACAGTTATAGAAAGCAAACTGTGGCTACCAAGGTGGGGGGGGGATAACTTGAGAGACTGGAATTGATATATGCACGCTACCATATGTAACATAAATAACTATTAAGAACCTGCTGCACAGCACAAGGAGCTCTACTGAACACTCTGCAATGACCTGTATGGGAACAGAACTTAAAAAACAGTGGATATACGTATACCTGATTCACAGCATTGTAATTGCCAAGGTATGTCCAACTCTCTGTGACCCCGTGGACTGCAGCCCACCAGGCTCCTCTGTCCACGGGATTCTCCAGGCAAGAAGACCGGAGTGGGTTGCCGGGCCCTCCTCCAGGGGATCTTCCTGATCCAGGGATAGAACCTGTGTCTCTTGCGTTGGCAGGCAGGCTCTTTACCACTGAGCCACCTGGGAAGCTCTGTAAACCAACTGTACGCCAATAAAAATGAGTTAAAAAAAAAAAGAAAAACATGGATCACATTATGCCTTTTCCTTCTCAAAACTCTTGATTTCCCACTAAAATTGGTACGCACCGTAATTCCGTGCTCCGCCTTCCCAGGCCCTGATGAACTGGCCTCTGCCTGCCTCTCCCACGTGACTTCGTACAGCTCTCCGCCCCGATCGCCACGTTCCCGCCACACGGGCCTTCTTGCTCTTCCTCTAGAATAAGAGGTAGAGCCAGCTCCAGGCTCCTCACGCTTGCTGTCCCCGTCACCTGGAATGCCCTTTCTGGGACATAGGCCTTCCTCCCCACTCCATCCTGCTTTCCACTCAGATATGACCTCTTCAGGAGGTCTTCCTTGGCCATCCTTTTCTCGATGATGTTGGCTCGTCTGTTCCCCCAACGTAATTGCCTCATTTTATAGTATCGTCCTCAATAGCCCTTATCACCCTCAGGAGTTAACCACACGCATGTGCTTGCCTGTTTATGGTCTGCCTCTATCATCAGCATGTAGTTTCTCTAACTGCCGAGAACTCCCTTGCTCACGGCTGAATCTCCAGAGTCTAGAACAGTGCCTGGCACGTAATAGACAGTGAACCCATGTTGGGGTGGGGAGGGGAAGCCAATAGATGCCCCTTTCTTCTCCCTCTTCCTCCCCCGGCCCCAACAGAATCATTGGCAGGGGAAAGAACCAGCTGTCAGGATTCTTGCTTTGGAGAGACGGCCAGGGGCTGGGGAGGCCGGGACGGGCCGAGAAGCAAGCATTAGGCTCCTTGGAACTCAGTATCCCGCGATGGGACGCGTGGGTGGGCTGGGGTAACAGACCCGCTGCGGGGGCAGGCGGGAGCTCTGCGAGGTGTTTAAGCCTGTCAATAAAAAAAGTGACCGCTGCTTTCTATCTGCAGCTACTCAAGGGAAATAAAGCCGTTTGCTTATAAAGAATTTCCATAAACATTTCTGAGGCTGTGTATTAGGGGTAATCTTGGGATGTGCATTAAACTAAACAGGGTAGTATAAACACAGGAACAGGCTGAAAGAGGGAGAATAAATGGCCCAGGTTTGCCCTGGCCCAATGGCCTCCGGCAGAAACCCAGAGACTTCGCTCCTTTATTTAAAGAAGGGGGGGTGCAGAGGGAGCCACAGGCAGTCCTTGCCACCAGCAGATTCTTGAACAATCTCTGGAATTAGGCATATTTTTTTCTTTCTCCCAATGATCAGTGCTTTGAATTCCTGAAGTCATCTGTGTCAAAACACGTAGAGGTGGCAAAAAAAAAAAAAAAAACCACAAGGGGAGGCACCCTCAGGAGTGCGTTCTGTGCCAGGCTAGTTCTGGAAGCTGTGTGTGCACAATCTCATTTCCGTTTCCCCGTACCACTCCCGGGAAGGTCATGGTGTTGTCTCCATTTCACAGATGAGGAAACTGAGGCACAGACATGTGATGACCCACTGAAGGTCACAAAACTAACCGGAGCTGGGTCGAGTCTGAGCTCTTCCAAGGACGGTCCTACTGAAGGAAAAAAACGCATCCTCGTGCCGTTGTCTGCATTTTGTCACTGAGCCTGTGAATTTATTCTGAGGAATCCAGGGCACACAGTGGAATGGATCATGTGCTCTGTTCAGGCTTCCATCGTTGGTCCGTGCAAGAAGATGCTTCTAAAATTATTTACCTAGGCACTCCCCTGGTGGTTCAGAGGCTAAGACTCTGAGCTCCCAACACAGAGGGACCAGGTTTGACCCCTGATCAGGGAACTAGTTCCCATATGCCACAGCTAAAGATCTGCACGCCACAGTTAAGACCTGGTACAGCCAAATAAATGAGTAAATAAAATAAATATTAAAAAAAAAAATGAAGGGCTTCCCTGGTGGCTAAGCCAGTAAAGAATCTGCCTGCAATGCAGGAGACCTGGGTTGGATCCCTGGGTCAGGAAGATCCCTAGGAGAAGGAAGCGGCACCCATTCCAGTATTCTTGCCTGGAGAATCCCATGGACAGAAGAGCCTCCTGTTTACACGCTGTCTTGCTTCTTGCTTTTTCATTTAACAAGATATTTTGGAGTTTATTACGTAGCCTCACCTATAGAACTACATCATTCTTTTTAAAAAATATTTTATTTATTTTGACTTCATAAGGTCTTAGCTGTGGCATGCAGGCTTCTCTCTAATTGTGGCATGGGTTCAGATGCCGCACGGCACATGGGATCTTAGTTCTCTGACCAGGATCTAACCCACGTCCCCTGCATTGGAAGGCAGATGTTTAACCACTGGAGCACCAGGGAAGTCCCTACACCATTCTTTTTGATGATTGTATAGTATTTCACCAAATGAATGGACCACGATTAAGGTGGTCAGAACCCTTATCCTATACCTAAGTATTTAGGCTGTTTCTAGTATTTTGTGATTATAAGCAATTCTCTGGCTTAGTGGGTGGGTGCAGTGTGTGTATAATTTTGTACACATGGATGTGTGTATATAATTTCATCCATGTGCAAGGATATTCATTAGATCAGTATACAAAGTAGAATACCGGCACCCCCACAAATTATTTTACACTTTTCCCCTTCATCTCCATCTTCAATTCTATTTCTTTCTTTGTCATGTATAGCCACCCTTGTGTATTTAAAATGAGTCCCACCAATCCACTTTCTACATCTTCTCTTTATCTTGTTGTTTATCTTTAAATATATACATATGTGCCTATGAACATACACAATATTATTTTGCACATGCTGAATTGCCGAAAAATTGATGCTTTTGAACTATGGTGTTGGAGAAGACTCTTGAGAGTCCCTTGGACTGCAAGGAGATCCAACCAGTCCATCCTAAAGGAGATCAGTCCTGGGTGTTCATTGGAAGGACTGATGCTGAAGTTGAAACTCCAATACTTTGGCCAACTCATGCGAAGAGTTGACTCATTGGAAAAGACCCTGATCCTGGGAGGGATTGGGGGCAGGAGGAGAAGGGGACAGCAGAGGATGAGATGGCTGGATGGCATCACCGACTCGATGGGCATGAGTTTGAGTAAACTCCGGGAGTTGGTGATGGACAGGGAGGTCTGGTGTGCTGCAATTCATGGGGTTGCAAAGAGTTGGACACGACTGAGCGACTGAACTGAACTGAACTGAATTTATATAAATAATATTTTGCAACTTGTTACAAAGATTTCTTTGTACCTTTCACCACTTTTCAGTTAATGTTAATATCTTATAATTAATGTTCATATCTTACACATTAACAACGTTTAATATGCAATGACCAAAACTAGGAAATTAACATTGGCATATTACCATTAACATTGGCGCAACACTATTAATTAAACTACAGGCTTTTTTGTAGCTGGTGATGGACAGGGAATCCTGGCGTGCTGCAGTCCATGGGGTCGCAAAGAGTTGGACACGACTGAGCTACTGAACTGACAGACTTTTTCCAATTTTCAAGTTTTCCTGCTGATTTTTTTTCCTGTTTCAGGACCCCATATGGGAGCTTTGAGTTCCTCGGTCTTTCCTTGTATTTCATGACGTGGACACTTTTAGAGAATTCTCATCAGTTATTTTGTTAAATGTCCCTTCGTTTGAGATTATGTGATGTTTTCTTCGGACTAGAAAGAGGTTTTGCATTTTTGCAAAGACACTAAAGAAGTTACGTGTCTTATTACTGAGGCCTGCGTGTTGTCAATATGTCTTAGAGTTAGTGATGTTGACTTTGATCCCTTGGTTGAGGTATTATCTTTATAATTTTCAGATCTACTGATGATGCTAAGTGTGATTCCTTCCTTATGACTGCTGCAGAGAATTCGTCCTTTGTCACATTGTACTTATTTTTCATGATACGCTGAAAATCTCATTCCTTGGGAAATAAAAACTTTGGCCAGGTTGATTGAAGAAGGGTTAAAGAAAGTGTGTTTTACTCATGAAATACTATGCAGCTGTCAGAAAATAAAACCCATTTAAAAAGAGCTAAGACTAGAGATAACGATTGGGGGAAAATTCCCAAGACATATTATGTTTAAGAACTAAGTTTCAGAAAAACTAATATTTTCAATACATTTGCAAAAACATTCTTGAATTATTGGAAGGTATTCGTGTGCAAATGCCAAAAGGTCTAGAAGAAGAGTCACTTATTTACAATAACCCGTGACTTCCCTGGGGGCACAGTGGACAGGACCCCGCCCGCCAACGCTGGGGACACAGGTTCGAGTCCTAGTCCAGGAAGACTCCACGTGCCGCAAACACTGAAGCCCCTGCAGCCTAGAGCAGGTGCCACTGCACGGAGAAGCCACGCACCGCCGGAGAGGCAGCCTGCGAGCAGCGGCGCAGACCCCGCACAGCCAAAGACAGACCAGCACACACGCAGCGGCCGAGCCGCGGGAGGAACTGAGGTTTCCCCAACGGATGGATGGGTGAGGAGGGTGTGGGACATGCACGCATTACACAGACACAGAGCGGCCGAGCTACATCAGGAACTGAGGTTTCCCCAACGGATGGATGGGTGAGGAGGGTGTGGGACATGCACGCATTACACAGACACAGAGCGGCCGAGCTACATCAGGAACTGAGGTTTCCCCAGCGGATGGATGGGTGAGGAGGGTGTGGGACATGCACGTATATATTTATATATACACACGCACATATAAATACACACACACATAGGAGAATACAAGCATGAAAGGAATGAGATTTTGCCACGTGCAATAACACGGGTGGCTGGGAGAGGGGGAATGGGGTTCCGCTCGGGGACGTCAGTCAACCAGAGGAAGACAAATACTGCGCATCTTCATTTATATGTGGAACCTAAACCGTTTTTAAAATGAATGGCTGTAACAAAACAGAAACAGACTCACAGATACTGAGAACAAATGAGTGGTTCCCAGTGTGGAAACGGGTGGGGGTGAGATGGGGCAAGGGCATTCAGAGGTACAAACTAGTAGGTATAAAGACGAATAAGATATAAGGGTGTTATGGATAGCACAAAAAATATAGCTAACATTTTATAATAGCTTGAAATGGAGTATAGTCTATAAAAATATCAAATCACTATGTTGTATACCTGAAACTGATATAAAAAAATATATATTTCCAATAAAAGGAAAGAACCACAAACTATTAACAGTGGTAAGTGAAAAACTCCAGCATGTAAGAACTTGCACTGGGAATACATGCAGAGTTTTTATCCTATACTCCTTATATACATCATACATTTATATACATTATAATATGGTCCTTTCAAAGAATGAGGAGGCTCCTAGAGCACGTATGAAATGAGCTTCAAGATAATTTGATTGAAAGGGAAAAAGCAAACAGTGGGGGGGGGGGAGTGTGCGTAGTAGGTTAACATGTGTAAAAGTAACAGAGGGAAATAAGAATCCGTATTTGTATTCACGTAGAGAGATTTGGCCA